ATATGTTACACAAAAATAACAATTTAATTTATAAGTTTGCTCATTGTCAAACATTGTTTCCATGGTAACATGCTGTCCTATAAAATGGAGGCTAGATAAAGTAGTACAAACATTTGTTGTTTTTTTTCTTTTCTTTCTTAAACTCACATTTACAAAATTATTTTTCTCTTCCTAAATGCCATTTTTATGACTAATGTTATCCATTAACACAAACAGTAACTTTTCTAAATATCCAATATAGTTCATTTTATACTACATTAACATTAACAAAAGCTTAAGACCACTTTGTAATTTTAATATCAAAGTTAAAAACAATACAGTAACAATTTCTGAGAGACTGAATTTTACTCACAAATTTGTACATGACAATGTTCTCTAGTGTTTCCAGTGGTTAGTATTTTGCATAACCACCTTTGCTTTTAATTACTGCTTGGAAGTTATGAGACATGCTGAGAATCAAGTTGTTAGACTAATCAACCAAGATGCTTTTTGTCCAGAATTCTTTAATAGCCTCTCAGTGTTTCAGTACTTGAAGAATGCTTTTCTGCAACATTTTCTTTTGACAATTTCCAATAAATTTTCAATTAAGCTCAAATATAGGCTATTCCCCAGCTAATTCAGTGTTGTCATATTGATCCTGCTCAAAAATTTCTGAACAACCCTTGACCAGTGGCATGGACCACCACCATGCATAAATATTGTGTACTGATGAATGTGCATATGCAGTTACAATTTAGCTTGCAGTATCTCCACATACCTTGCACCATTCACCGTTGTTCATAGAGGCAAGAAGTTGAGTCCAACTGTTCCACATTTGGACATGGTGCCCTAATTCATCTGGATTGGTGGGTGCTTAATAAACTGAATTGTATACTTTTCAACAAATCTCTTACTGGGGAGAGGTCTTTCAAGGTTTCTTTTATGTACTATGAACTGTTTCATCTGAAAACATAATTTTGCTCCATTCCTCAGATGTCCAGGTTTCATGTTGCTTAGCAAATACCAGATGCTTGGATTGCATGGCTGCAGTTACTCCTGGTTTAGAAGCTAGTTTTAATGATTTCAGACCAAACTCAAATCTGAGACAATGTGAAACTGCCATAGAATTGATATTTGTACCATTTTCAAGCAAAGCAGTACATGTCATATGACAAGAACTTATTGGGGACCGTGTAGCAAAGTGCATCTTCGAATGGTCATATCTAGCACTGGTTTTCCTTAGACATCCACTTTTCTCCTGTGTCACTTAAATATTGCTGAATTTTGGAAATTCACAAGAGTAGTGCACATCAGTGTTTCACTACAACTTATCTTTACAATAATTCCGTGTTCAGGATAGCCTTCATTCAACAGAACCACAATTTGGGTACTTTCTGCAGGTAAAATTTTTTGACCATATTCTAAGCCTAATCCATTGCACAAATTCTATCAGAATGGCTGCTAATTTGGCAATGACAAAAAAGTTTTGATCATAAATCATGCATCAATAATGGCTTATGCAATAACAAAAAGATAACACGCAATCTCATATGATACAAAGTAATACAAAAGAAAAATGAAAATAATCATGTTACAGCTAAACGATATTAAACTTTCGTTAATGACCGTATATTCTTCAACTTTGTTGATTTTAACATTTCTGTTGATACATTCTTCGGTCTTCCTCAAGCTGAGGAAGGATCTGGATTTTAGAGTTTGTTTAGCACTGTTCTTTCCTTTTTATCCTCCCTTTGTTCTATTTTGGTTTGGTTTATTTTACGGCATATCAACCTCAATGAGTTATTTAATGCCAACAACATTTATTTATTGCTGGTAATATTTTGTTTTGTCAAAAATCTGTTTCTGGTAATATTTTTCCTTCAAAATTGTATTGTTGGTAATGATTTTTTTTAAAAAAAAATAATTGCTGGTAATAGTTAACTCTTTGCCCATGGCTGGAACCCTAACAGGTGCTACCACCCCGGGTCAGGGTGGACCTGGGAACACCAGCAATTAAGATGTGGTTCAACACTCCTCAAAACCTCCTGATCAGAGGCCTTGCTGCTGGATGTAGTTTAACATCTTACCCAGGATAAGTTCTGTTTTGTTTATTTTTCTCCTGTTTATTTTTTTTTAATTCCTGATGGTTTCTATCAGGAACTAAAAGTATGACTGTTTGATTACACATTATTTCTTCTGTCAAACATCTTTCATCTTATACATTTTCTATCACAAAACAATATCTATCATTTTTACTTCTCATTCTCAAACGCATTCTCTTCAACACATACTCTTATTAACATGATTTAGTTATTCCACATTATACAACAGCTTCCCAGTGCTCATAAAATATGATTTTTAAAAAGGTATCTAGTTTCCTCCTTATATTCTCTTGTCCTCAATTATTTATAAACATAACATATGCCCAAATTTTACTCCTGTGTCATTCCAACCATTTGGAATCAGCATTTGGCTGTTGTAAGCTCTTTGGGAAAATGAAAATTAAAAGAAAAAAAATGTGAACTTGTCAAGACTGAAAGCAACATCTACCAGAGAATGGATAAAGAATATATCAATGAAAACACTAGGTTAAAAACAAAAATAAGAACAACTGTAGGAAAAACATATGCAATAAAAAAAAAAGTTAATCTTGGAAAATCAGAAAACGATTATTCAATGTAGTTCTGTTTTCTTAAAACCAATTGACAATAAACATAAAATACAAACTTTCACAAACTATATCAGCATCACATAAAAGTTAGTCAGGTCAGGGTCAAAAACCTTATTATATTGCATTTTCTCGTTTATGATCAATAATTCCTGAAAATTAAACTAAAAGTAAAATGAAATAAACATTGTAGCTAAGCCTCTATCTTGTCCCCACACTATAGATGAAAACAATTATCATAATTTTTAATATATAAATATATTTAAATAAATTTTTAAAATTTATATATTATAAATTAATTGATTTAAAATATGGTTTTTTTCGCTACACAGTTCTAACCATGTTTCAAAAATGGAAGCTAAAAGCCCTGAATGAAACATGGTTAGAACTGTGTAGCGAAAAAAAACATTTTAAATCAATTAATTTATAATATTAATGGTCTGTAAATTTACATCGAGCACTATTTTGTAAAAATAAAAATATCTATAAGAACACCGGATTATATATCTTACTGTTCTTTCTTTTTATTTATATATATATATATATATATATATAAGCAGACAAAGTATGAATGCCACACAACAGTAACAGTTAACAAAATAACTTGATATACAAAGTTACTGTAATTTCCATGAAATGCAAACTATTAATATTTTATCAACGGCCCACGTATGTCCATCTTTGCTAACCTTGCTAAACATTGGCATTTAACAACAGCCAGATTTAATATAATACTCAAATAAAGTTCATGTTGAACACAAAAATATATCCAGCCAAATAAAAAAAAAAAAAATCAATCAGCATCATATGCCATATGAGCCTACAAGGCAACTACCCCAAAAAGTTCAGAGGTTATTATTTTTAATCAATTCACCTGTAGCTAGGCAACAACACCACTAAGACACAAGGGGCTACTGGGAGTGAGAGAGAATGAGAAGACTTTAGATGGAACCAGAAATCCAATCCTGAATAGAAATAGGATACAACTTTACTCCTGTTCAAAAGGACCAGGGAGGAGTGTGAACCAAATAATAGGTGAACTTATCTACTCTTATTACAGAGAAGAAACATAAATAAATAATTAATAAATAAAATTTCAGAGTTCAGGCAGTGACTTTAGAAGTTCCATTTTTCTCAAATTATATACACCATTTAGTAACAAGCTATTGTGAGTTATTTAAATTTAACCTTAAATAACAAGTAATTTTTAAATTTCATTCGTACAATGTAATTGCTTGAATTGCACAAAATAATGAAAGTGAATGACAAAAGAATTCTTAATTTAACTTTCATATTAATTCTTAATTTAACATCCATATAAAAAAAAATGCTATTTAGTTTTATCAGGCTCTGTCAGGATAGGAGTTTTCAATGTGAACACAAATTTAAAGACTGCATCAGAAAATTAAGATTAACCCTAGAACACTAACCATGAGTATATAGTACCCAGCACAAATTTTCCTATTTTTAATTACAATTTTCAGTACCTAAATTTTCTTACCTAAATAATGTTTTTCAGATCCTATTAATGTTAACTCAAAGTACAAAGTTTGAAATGCCTGCATGTAAAATATTTCAAAGATTTATATTTAATTTTTTTTTTTTTGATATTTCCAAAATTGGGTATGACATACCCATGGTTCGTAGTGGTGTAACTTTAATTCATGGTTAGTGTTCTAGGGTTAAGAAATAAATTGAGATAAAAAAAATAGAGTAAAATCTTGCTTATTTAAAAAATATTTTCTAGCTTTAAATAACCTGCAAAGGGTTGATAAGGTGTAGAAAACAAATCAATAAATCAATGGACCTTACTTTGTCATGATGGCTTCCCATGGCCTAATTGGTAAACCACATCTGATAAAAGTAAATACCACTTAAAAAAAAAGGTAACATTTATAGTAATATACATTTCTTATTACTACAAACATTTAGTTGTTACACATGCTCAAGTAGACATCCTTTTCTTTTTAAAATGTACCTGCCAACAGAAATCAAAACTTTATTCCCATTTTCAATGAGAGAAATCACTTGAGTATGCTTTACCAATTAGGCCATGGGATGCCATCATAACAAAGTTCATTGACTGATTTGTTTTCTACAATTTATCAACCCTTTGCAGGTTATTTAAAGCTAGAAAATATTCTTAAATTGTAAGAGGATTTTTTTTAGAGATAAAGCTTTAGTGATAGAAGTCTTACTAACCCACAGCTGGGAGGGGGAGAAGAAATAGATTCATACCTTTCTCAAGGGTATTTGCTTGTAAATGAATATAACTAATCCAACGGGAATTGGAACTTGGCTCTATGATTAACAATTCTAAGCCATTATCCATTACACCAGCCACACATCCAAGATTACAGTACCTGGCATTCCCAAGCAGTCACCCATCTAGTACTAACCAGGCTCGATGTTGCTTAACTTCAGTGATCATAGAGGAACCAGTTTTTCAAAGTAACATGGCTGTAAACCAAAAAGTAAGGATCAATTATCCTATTCAAGAAATGCACATCTTTTGTTGGGACATTTTGAAGTCTATACTTGTTACCTTTATTTGTACATCTAAAATATAAACAAAGTAATTTTTCAGCAATTAACAAATTTTTTAACCCAGCAATTATTTCTTATCACTATAAATCTTACATTTAGTGTTAGAGTAGACCTCACTGTCTGTTTTTGTTTTTTTAACAGTGAAATTAATGGAAGAATCTTACTAAAGAACATGTGCTTCCCAACAGGATTTGAATCTGTATTATTTTTTTAATCAGGAAAACCAATTTCAAGCAAAAGTGTACATAAGTATTAAGCCACAAGAAGCCATGTCAACAAAACTTTATACATCTTGAGACCTTTCAAGATCATTATCTGCTATTTTCATACTCAAAATGTAAACAAAATAATTTTTAAGCAATTAATGGATTTTTTAACCAGACAGTATTTTTATTACTATATTATATTTAGTGGGTGCACATATTTGAGTAAACATGGGCACCTGGACATGGTGTAATGGTTAGCAAGCTTGTCTAACTAGAAGTTTTTTTTGGGGGGGTTAAGCAAGGTGGGGATGCCACTAATATACAGGGAGTGAAAGTGAAAGAGATGAGCAAGTATACAAAGAATTGATGAAAAGACAAAAGATGAATGGGATTCAAGACCGAAGATGGCGACTGACATTGCATTTAAATTTTTAAAGATTATAGTTATCAGGAAGCAAGTAGACAGAAGGTGATTCCACAAGTGGGAAGTGCAAGAAAAGAAATTGTTGGAGTAGAAGTGGCATATGCATCAATCTGTTTCACCAGAAGAAGGGTGGGACCTAGATGCCAATCTAGTATCATGCTTAAATTTATGTAGTTGGGACAACAGAGAAAAAAGCTCATCTGAGCAGTTGCCATGAAAATATTTGTAGAAAAGACAGACGGAAGCTACATCACATCGGTGAAAAATTGACTGAAGTTGAGATGGCTGGTCAGGATCAATTACATTACAGATCTTTCTTTGGATTTTGTCAAGAATCTTAAGAGGTACAGCAGTAGCACCAGACCATATATGCCAACAGTATTCAATGCCTAATGGTAGATTTGTAAATGTGCAAGATGGATTATGACAAGAAAAATTTTCTGGCACAACACAATGAACCAACTTTCCTTGCAGTAGATGCAGCTATTGATTCAATGTCGTTGTTTCACATCAAGTTAGTGGAAAATGTGAGGCCAAGAAGGCACAATGTGTTGCACTCCTAAAGTCTAGTATTGGCCAGGCTGATGGCAGAAAAGTTTTTCTATGGTGGCTAGATGAAAGCAGTTTTGTTACAATTGGGTAGCAAGTTCACTGGGTGCCCCACATTTTTGGCCTTGTGCCACATCTATGTTTAGAAAAAAAAAAAATCACCATATTTAAGTAGACATCCCTGTTGTTTTTTAGTTTTTTTTATGGTGAAATTAATGCCTAACAGCCTAGAGATTAAGAATATATGTATCTTATTTCAAAACAGAATACCATTCTTGAAACCACAAAAGAATACCAGGTCAGTTTTCCTGACTTTTCAGCCTGTCAAATTTCAAGAACACGCAAAGGAAGCACCTGAGGCAAACCTTATGAGAAAGACGATGTCTTAAGATGATACAAAAGAACAAGAATTTACATTTCTTTGAATGACATTAAGCAGACAACAAAGGAGTGACATTTTCTATATTAACCTTTGCACTAATGACTCTAAAAAGTTTTTATGACAGCTGCTGAATCTATTTTCATAAGAACTCTCTCCTTTACATTCAGATATGATTGATTGTTTTAAAGCTTATTAATGCATTATTTAAAGTCAAAACATATTTTGGATTGTAAGAATAATTTTTTTGACTGAATATTGCATTAACATGATTTCTTTTTTTTTCTTTTTTTTTTCAAATGTAGATCCTATTTAACCCATAGCTGGAGAGAAGAGTTGGTTACATACCTTTCCCCAAAGGTATTTGCATGTAAGTGAATTAATGACCCCAACTGGAATTTGAGCTCTGTTCTCCAAATTCTCATTCCATGCTGCTAATATGCATTACACCACCCCCACTACCTTTAGATAAACTACAACATTATAATGTAATGATATAAATCATTAACACATTCATTAATACATGTCAGGTTCAACTTACGTTTTGGGCCATGGTATACCCTGGTCTTCTTCAAATGTCATTCATGGCATTTGGTAACCTTGGAATTTTGAATTGAACCATTATTCAGACCAGGCAGGTAGATGTTTCTCACTCCAATTTTCATGCTTAGGGGACATTCCCTATCAGTTAATACTCACCAGTCTTATTCAAGAACTAAAAATGAATTCCCACTAGGTTACCTAAATTGACATATACCTGATGAAGGCCAGAGGGCACAATAGCTGAAACATTGTGATTACAACAACGATAAGGACAATAGTCCAAATGTAAATAGTGTAAATTACATAACCAATAACATTACCAGAAATAAAAAAAAACAAAAAAAAAAACAAATAAAAAACCTATTGGGAGGTGGGTATCTTTAATTCACACTTTGTGGACCTAATTATACATCTTTCTGAAACTTACACTACCTGCTGTTGACATTTCTATACATTTATAAGAAATTGCTTGCTGTTTGGGCAATTTGACATGGTGTAATGGTTAGCAAGCTTGTTTCACTAGATCAATTACAACTGGATAGTGAGTTTGATCCTCACTGGATGCCCCCATACTTTCATCCTTGGTCCACATCTAAGTTACGCTTAGAAACTCACCATATACTGTTTGCTGTTGGTGCATATATACATTTTCAAGGCATTCTTATACATCTTTATGAAACTTATATTGCTTGCTGTTGACATATACAGGGTGTCCATAAAGTTTGTGCGCACTTTAAAAAAATTATAACTTTATTTGTATTTGTGATAGAAATAATTTGTAAAAAGGATTAGAAAGAAGTAAATCTATATTTTTTAAGGTTTTATTGAAATTTTATTTAAGTTTCCACATGTCCTCTATCATGAGCAATACAAAGGGTAATACGATTTTGCAGTTCACGTAAAACATTTGCCAAGTGATTTACAGTAATGCCTGAAATCACATTAGTTATTTTAGCTATACTTAAAACTAGGTACATTAAACTTTATAACATTTTTTACAGATTATTTCTATCGCAAATACAAATAAAGTTATAAATTTTTTAAAGTGCACATGAACTTTATGGACACCCTGTATATACATTTTCAAAACAAATGGCCATCCTAGCGTTTGTGTTATAAACCAACTAGCACTTTCTGCTACTTGCAAACAATCATAAAACATAATAAATCCTGTTTTGTGATGTATATTTATTACTAGCAGCATGGCCCGGCATTGCCCGTGCTTGATTCAAAAATTGTATGATTGATACAGCAATCGCTATCACTTGACTTGAAATATTTTTGCCCTTCCTTGCCTTTAAAGGAGTACCCTTTGGTGTGCTGATATTACTACATGCCTTACTTCTTGCCTATCTCACACTGTGAATTTTTTCTAAGCTCTATACTAAACATTAAATCTGTTACTAAAAAAGAACTAAACAAAATGAACACAAAACGATCAGCTTTAAAAAAAGAATTCTAACTGGAAAAACTGAATGAAAAAAGAATGTTAACAACAAATACTTTTCATACCCAACCCAGTTCCGTGGAATCAGAATCAACGTTGAGTTTAAGCAAGCGAATGAGCCAATTGGAGTAAAGTGCCATGCAGATTTAAATTTTTCCCACTTGTGACAAGTGCAGCTATCGATTTTTTTTGAATGCTAGCATGCTAGTTAACATTCGTGTCAGTCAGCTGTTGGCTCTCACGCTGGCCAATAGAAAATGGCTGCAAACTACATGAAAACTGCCGTAGAAGCATGGAAAAATGCTTATTTCCACTGTCGATAGGAGTTGGGAAATGCAATATCAGTCTTGGCCTTCCCGCTAACTTGGAGCATATGCATGTAAATTTTGGTGCAAATCCGTCGAAAATTGCAGCCATGCATTTGTCACACACACACACACACACACACACACACATCCTGCCTTTTATAGATAGTGTGTTGAAGGGAGGGGTTATTTAGCTTTGTCTGTACTACAGAATATCCAATCAAAACTAGAATGACAGTGGCACGCATGAGAAATCGCTCTTATCATCTTTATAATTATTTTTCAGGAAAATTTCCTATTTCCCCAAAATTGTCCAATACAGTCAGACAACAATGTTATAACAATGCAGCAGTGAATGTGTTAAATTAATAGATGCAGAGGTGTCATAGAACAGAGAAAGAAAATGTTTGTAGTCAGATCATTGTTTAAAGCTCCCATGCAAATTAGACTTGAAGTCTTGTGACTCCCAGGAAAAGTAGGAAGCCATGACTTGTCATAATCAAGCACCATACAAAAGCAAAGAATGGATTTATGTATGAATAGGTTTGCAGAATGGCTACCTCAAATAGAAAAGAAATACAAAAGATTTACAAAGTTTATCCACACAAGGAAAAGGATGTATTAAGAGGTGCTGTGTTGTATGCCTAACCAAGAATTAATAAAAAAAAAAAAAATGAACTCCTGTTTGGGTCAGATTTTAGGAAGTAAACCAGATTGAGAACCAGCAATCCTTCTTTTGTGATGTCAATGAACACTGGTTGGCACTCTTGTAATGTCAACAAATACTTGTCGTCATTTTTGCAATGCTTGTTGTAGTACAGACTTTGTAATCACAGATACAACTATAGTAACAATGTTGAACAATACTGGTAACAGATGCCTTCAGATAATACTCATACTAACAGTACTTGCTCGATAATACTCACTCGAAGAGTAACCACCATGTTGTGATTCATACAATGAATAGTATAGAGAATAGTGATCTGTATAGTAATAGAGATATAAGATAGTGTAGAAAGAGTGATCAATTAGACACCACACTAATTCTCATATATATATAA